TGCACATTGAAAGAGTTGGCAGTACAAACAGTAGAGATCACCAGCAGAAAGCATTGTCTGCTTCCATTGGACCTTTTCATGTAAATGATAAGAGATTACCAGTCAGCTTATACATCAACAATAGAAAGCTATAATCAGAAAATACATCACCAAACTAAATTAACACAAGTTCTCAATCTTCACCACATTATACATCCTAAAATTGAGTTTGACAAACCAAAAAGGAAACCAAATGCCATAAAACTTGCAGAGAGTGAAAATCTTCAGTCAAAAGTAAGCTTTATGCCGCACAAATAGGATATTGCATCTAGGTTTCACCAGAATTGGTTTCAAAAGAGGAGTGATTATCAATTAACAGATCGAAAACATAGATCATTAGCTTGCTACTTTTTGAGCAATACGGAAGACCATGAAAGAGTTCAATGTCTTAGTTTGGCTGTCATCAAATGCATAATGAAATGCAGAAACCATAACAATGATTTCGATGCATCAAAAGTCAAAACCATACTTATATCAAAAAACAATCCCTAGACTTAATAGAAACTCAAGGTATTGCCCTCTTTACAGATTACACTTAAGCATCAGCAAACTAGTTTTGTTGCCCGCAAAAATCTGGTGACCAATTCATTAAAAAAAAAAATTAGAAAGTGTGAGAAGCAATAAACTGAATCATCAACAATCACAAAAGAGGACATAGGTTTATGTTAAATGTTAAGAGACTACATTGCCAAAATAATGACAAAGTGAGTGAAATGGAAGTACTCCAATTGAACATAGAAGTGCAAGTAAAAATTAGGATTCTAGCATATAAGATATAGCCAACCAATATAACCTTCAAAAACCATCCTTACAAGTTTCAGCATAGGGAAAATGCACAAGTACCCCTAGACTATCACCAAAATCTCCAAGACACTTTAACTAAACTAAGATCCTATTAACCCTGAACTTATTTTTTTTGTAATTTTATACACCTTTTGTCTTACGTGGCACACTCCATAACTCCACATAATTGAGGCACATAGGAGATACTTGGATGTCACGTAAGCTAAAAAGGTGCACAAAATTACAAAAAAAATAAGTTCAGAGAGGTAATAAGACCTTAGAATAGTAAAGGTGTGTCTGTGAGATTTCGGCCATAATCTAGAGGTTCTTGTGTATTTTTCCATTCAGCATAACCAAAAAAAACACTGTAAGATCAATGTATGCATATCACTAAAAGTTCAACATAAAGATAGTTTTACTAAATTACAATACATCTAATTACTAAGAAAGTATAAGGGGTAACCAAACCAATCATAAAACAGATATTACTACAATACAACACAACACATAAAAATACCACTGAATAAACAACTTAAACACATAATCAGAAAGAAACAGCACTCAACTCTTCAGCTGTTGACAAGTTAGCATAACCAAACTAACTAGAACTAACCTACCTAAAACACACAAATATATAAACAAGCCATCTTAACCAAAATCAAGTAAATATCCCCAATAACACAAAATCACAATTACACATTGGTTAGTTCATAGGAATAGTCGGTGGAGCGTAAACGGGGTATACCTGAAGGTCGTTCGCTTTGATGTGTGCCCAAATCAACTTGAGGGCTTGAGTTCGAGGAACTTCAGACATGCCACCAAGAAAAGCCTGCATTTCCGGCGATACTCTACGCGGCTTCATAATACCCCTAGGTTCACGCTTCTTCGGCTCAGCAACCGGCTTAGAAGCCGTCGCGAAAGTGACCGTCCGCACAGTGCGCAGGTTATTAACATGATGAGCTGCAAGCGGAGAAGCGAGCCTAACGGAGGAGAAGGAATCTGACTTCGCAAACGACGCCGTCACGCCGGTTGAGAATACCGAGAATAACCCCAAGGACACCGCCATTATCTTCTTTCTGTAGGTTTTGATATTTTTGAATTTGCAGAGATAAGTGTGGCCAAAGGGGTTTTTTGTGTCCGTAAAAATCAGGGTAACCGCGCCTTTTGGACTTTCTGTTTTATTGACCATATTGCCCTTTTATCTACGTAGTTTGGGCCGCTAATGGGCTAATTATCCATTGCTAGTGTCAACTTACCAAGCACACATAAATAGCCCATATTATAGCCGACGATATACCCGTTTCTTCGTGAATGATTTGCACCACGATAGCATTCTGTATTTTCTTAATTAAATTTATATAACATAGTTTAGTAGACATTAAATTAAAAAGAAAAATAGAAGAAAATTGCAATGTGGATCTATAGCATATATATATATATATATATGATTCATACGGGATTTATACAACATTCATGTATAAAATCATGAGCAAGATTTAATGAACAATATATGTAAGTTTAGAAAAAAAAAAATGTTATCTTACGTGGTGAATTTAGATGAAGATGAATTTCTTAAGGAAATAATATCACATGTTCATTCAAATGTAATCGTGATGCAAGCGGAAGCGGATGAGGAAGAGGAAGAGGAAGTAGAGTCAAAAAAATTTAATTATTAGGTCATGTAACATTCAGCAATTTAGATTTGTTAAGTATTTGGGTTGCCTTGTGTTGGTGGAAATCTTTTAAATCAACAAGTTTTTTATGGGTGAAATGGTAAAATGATCAACATTTATCCGTTTAATCGTACGTTGATTATTATGTATTTTTGTAATTATTCACCAAAGTGAGTTATTCATATATGTATTTTTATAAACATTCACCAAACTGTGTGATTTATAAATGAATTTTTGTATAAGTTGAAGTCGTGTTCATACATGTCAACATTCGATATTTCTTTCTTAAAGAGTAATATTGTTTATTTTTTAGTTGAAGGGTCTATTCGTAGCCCGCTTAAGACTAGGATGGACTGTTATTTTATGGACCCTTTTATTAAAAGAATTAGCCCGTCCCAATACATTTAACTCTCTAGCTCATTAGAATTGGATTGGATCAATCTATTTCGACGACAATAGTTATAGGTCTTATTTTATGTATTTCTTTTAGGAATTGCTAGAAAGAAAATAAGGAAAATGACAAGAAAACAACGGTAAAGAAGAAACATTTTTTTAATGTCATGTCAAATCATTACTAGTGTAGAGGTGCAAGGAATTAAGAGTAATAGGCACAATTCCTTTTACTCTACGCGATTAGGGCCTAATCAAAGGGACCACCCAATTTCCCCTTGCTAGCTGTTCCATTATGCATACACTAAAATCATTTCTAGGTAACTTGTCTTTTCAATATTTCAATACTAATCATAAAAGTTCAACTTAATTATAGTTGGATCAGGATTTCAGAATTTAAATAAGTTATAAAAAAAAAAAAAGTGATCAAAATAAGTTATCATATTATAAAGTAATTAAAATAAGCTCAGTAAAAAAAAGTTTATTTTATTCAATATTTTAAACAATTTTTGTTAGTGTCATAACGTTTATATTTTAATATAGAATGAAACTATTTATTACACTTTGTAATATGAAATTTTTTCTTACATTTTATAAAGTGGAATAAAATCAATTTTATAAAGTGAAAGAAAAAAATATATTTTACAATGAATAAATAAATTTAACATATATTTCGATCGATAAAGGAGAACCTTGTTCACAAGCCTTAAGCTCTTTTCTAACATAAATTTCAAGTATTATTAACTTGATTTAATTTATTTGGTCATTCGGAAGCTTCAAAAAGTTGGTCAATAATTCATCATTCTTAATAATCTACTCTCCAAAATTTACTTGTTCTTGTGATAAAAATAAAGTAGGATATTTTTTTACTAATCAAATTATAGTCAGTACTATTCATACACATTCTTTAATATATTGAAGAAAGAAATTTTATGATATCAGACATTAATTAAATATTTATCATTGTGTTTGGGAGAAAATTTAATAAATGGTTTCTTTCTTTTATAATTTCGCCGTACCAATAAATTAAGGACTCTAACTTTTGGGGTAGAAGACATTTTTTGTAATTGAAATGAAGAAAAATAGAAGACTAAACATGTTGGTAAGGTATTTTGTGTTTGAATGTCCTTAAATAGAGCGTGAATATGTTTTCAAAATACAAAATTAAAAACACATAATATAAGTATTTTTTTTTATTTTTATGATATGTCAAATCATTATATTATATTGCAAACACTAGAAAAGTTTCATAACATGAAAATATTTCTCTTCTAAAACATAATTTTTATAGAGTATAAGAAAAAATTTCACTTTACAAAGAATAATAAAAATTTGTACTTTATAAAGTGTGATAAACGTTATATTTAAATATACACGTTATAAGACTAATGAAAAACACTTATAATATTAAATAAAGTGAAAAAAATTTCTTCTACCAAACCTATTTTAATTACTTCTAAAATAATAATTTATTTTTATCACTTTTATCTTTTATGGCTTATTTAAATTCAAAAACTCTTGGAATCAGCTCATTTGTGTGTGATTTTGCCCCCACTGTTCTCTTTAGCGGAAAGAGTGGAAACTGGATTTGCAAGGCAAGCAAAAAGGTTTACGTTGCATTATGTTTGTTCCAATCCCAACTACCCCAAATTAAATGATTAGGCTCACTCACCATCATTTTGGTTTTTAGCATTTTGTATTACAACGGTCAAGCCAACAATGTCATGGCTAGAGCATGCGGGGAAGTGATTTATAACAAAAATATCATTGAATTCAAAGTTATAAAACAAAAAAAAGAAGGTGTTTTTACTAACATAAGATAGCAACAGAATATTACTTTCTCCGTCCGATATTATTTGTTATAATTTTTATTTTTAGAATTAAATTATAAAAATTTTAATTAAAATTTTAAGATATATTTTTTTATTATATTCATATATAAAAAATTGTAATTTATAATACTTTTTATATAGTTTTAAGATATCTAATATTTTTATTTAAAATATAAATTCTAAGGGGGAAGTACTAGATTGGTACTTTTTAATTTATGATAGTAGTAATGGCGATCACATGAGAGTAACCCAAGTAAAGGCCAAACAGGGTCTGTTTGGTAGTCACTACTCGGCAGCCACGTTTCTACTTTCCTTTTCCGCTTTTCTACTCTTCTCCCAAACAAACCCCTATATATATAATTCCCTCTTCCTCCCTCTCTTTTATTCATATAGCCCAAAAACTACTGAACTTCTCTCTTCTAAGAAATTGTTTGTGCGCAAAATACACTGTGATAAAAATGGATGGGAAAAATGCTCTTTGGATCGGATTTCTCTGCATTATCGTCGCCGGTGTAGGGGGTCAAGCTCCTGCCACGTCACCCACTACTAGCCCCGCACCACCAACATCCACTACCCCTACACCTACCGGTTCTCCACTTCCGGCTACTTCATCTCCACCTCCTGCAGTAAGTTCACCTCCTCCATCTGTATCTTCTCCACCGGCTTCTTCACCACTACCTTCCGCTTCTCCTCCTCCACCAGTGAGCGCTCCACCACCAGCTACTCCTCCACCAGTGAGTGCTCCACCACCAGCTACTCCTCCACCTGTGAGCACTCCACCTCCATCTCCTCCTCCACCGGCAGCGGCACCTGCACCGGTTGCAACTCCACCTGCTTCAGCTCCGGCTCCTACTCCGACTACAAAAGTAGCCACATCTCCAGCTCCTTCGCCGGTTGGTTTGTTGAGTCCTCCTGCACCACCTCTGGGTGCTCCGTCACCGAGTGGTTTCTCAGGTTTATCTCCTGCTCCATCAGCCCCTGATCAGGTACTAATTAATTTGCTCAAATCTCAGTTTCATTTTCTGATTCCTTAACCATAACATTATAGATTTAATGATACATTTTCATTTGCTACTAAGGGAAAAGGTCACCTAATAATTATTGTTATAAGATATGCTTCAATTTTTTTAAAAAATATGAAGAAACTTAAAAGTACACAAGAATCATAGTTTATAAAGAGTCATATATCATAGAGTTAAAATCCTAACCTATGGGCTACATTTAAGCCGAACTTGTGAAATCTCATTTTAACGATACAATTAATTCGACATTGATAAATTTACAAGTCAAATTTATTAATTTTTATTTAGATTGCGTCTATGTGACATATTTTAAGATGTGTGGAAATTAGGAATATTCAGCACATACATTTTTTAGGTATTTACGTTGTTTTTTTTCTTTTGGTATTGATATGGAGCGCATGATAGTCAAACTACGCATAGTTTGTGTAACATGAGCCAGTTTCTCGTTAATTGTGTCTATGGTGAAGGTCTAATGTGGGATGTTGAGCCTAGCTAGTGCCTAGGAGATTGTTATCTGGTGTGATCGAGTGCATGCGAGCTTTAGTCTGCGATTAGTTTTATGATTATTCACTGGGACATATCACGTGCTTTCTGTTTGCCCATAATCACTCTGCCTCTACCTAAAAATTGTATTCCATTAGCCGTTACTTTTATCTATTTAACTTAACACGATATTTCAAAAAAATAAAATATATTTTAAAATTGACTGAAAATACAATATTGATAGTTATAATAAGAGATAAAGTTGTCCAAATTAAAGGTAGACTTTAATCAAAATGAAGAATAATAATTTTCCATAGTTCAATGATATTATTGAACTTAAAAGTTACTGGAATCATTTTCATGTAGATGGTTCATCTTTTTGTATGTATAGTATTTTAGTAAAACAAATAATTGAAGAGACAGAAAGAGAAATAGTGGGTAACTAAGTCTATAGAGGAGATAGAATATAGAGCCACATTATTGAACCCCAAATATCCCCTATTTTGTATTTGTTTGGATTCTTATGCATGTGCTAGCATACACTCAAACTAACACAGCTTATTAATCATCAGATTAGATCTTATAGTGCTTGAAAGGTTCAATTTAATATTTTCTATATTTATTTGGATTCTTATGCATGTGCCAACCTTTTTTTATATATGTCTCACAATAATTTAACTCAATGTAGATTAATTATATGGTTTATAGTAGCTACATATCTTGATATTTTTATGCTTGTTTATTGTGCAGAGTGGAGTGGAGGGCAATATGAGATTTTCAAATATGATTATGGGAAGTTTGGTGTTTGGATGGGGTCTCCTCTGCTTGCTGATTTAGAAATCTCTATGTGATTTTGTGCTAAATTTGCTTTTGCCATTATATTTTATATTATTATGAAATACCATCATTTTAGCTTATTAGTAGGATGATGATGGTTTTATTTTTCCCACATGTACTTGGATTTTATATTCACTTGGATTCTTTTTGGAGGTTTCTTGTTGAGGGAAATTTATTTTTGTTTTGGGACTCAAACTACTACTCTTTTAGCTAGCTCATCCATTTATGTTATGACTTTCTATACATTTATATTTTCTAAAATTGATATTGTATTGATATATAGAACGGCTAAGGGATTACATACATGATTATGGTATAATAGTGAGACTATTTAAACTTTAAGCAAAAATATTGGGGTTGGATCTTTTGAATATGAAAGAAAATCTTGTTAAAAAGTATCATTTTCAAAAAATAATTGAAACTTCATACATTTTAGATGGAAAATAAAAAGATTCGAGTAAAGATTACTTCTTGTACAGGAAGTTTTGGTTAGTTTTTTGCAACTTTCGAAGACTTCACTGTTTTGTTCACTGAGTTTGAGGCACGCAGAGTTAAGTTCGGTCTGCCTTTTTTATATTTCCGACTGGTAAAGTTTATTTTTTACGTTGTAATTTTTAATTTTTGGAAGTTAGTATAAATATACAAATTTTATTTTTTAATAAAATTAAATTTTCAAACATTCTTAAATAAATTTAAAATATTTGATTCTAAAAAAATAAACTTGTACAAATATACAAAACTTTGCTTTCTTCCCCCCAAGTAGGCACTTTTCATGTCGGTTAATTTGGCGGTTTCACTTCAATTTAAGCTGCAAATGCTATCTTCACAATATTGGTTTGATGGACCTTATAACAAGTTTAATGGTTTTAATTTTGGCGTTTGGTTTCAAATAAATATTAATGGTATCATTTCAATCTGAACTCTCTATCAACATCTATGAAAGTATTCTCATGTACTAGATTTTAAAATAAAAATATTAGACATAAAACTTTTACTAAAATGAACACTTTTTTATATTGTTTAGTTTCTCCGTTTCATAAAGAATGACTTAGTTTGATTTGACACGAAATTTAAGAGTATAAAGAATACTTTTAAATCTTGTGGTCCTAAATTAAAGTTAGCAAATGTATAAAATGATCTTTTAATCTTGTGGCCTTAAACATGCCACGTGGAAATATGTTATCAAAAAAAGAAAAATATCATTCTTTTTTAAACAAACTAAAAAGAAAATGAAGTCATTATTTTTGAAATGGAGAAAGTAACATATTAACTATTAATATCATTCTAATTAAATTTAAAAATTTAGTAAGTAACTATTAATATCATTCTAATTAAATTTAAAAATTTAGTAAGAAAACTAAACAACTAACGAGCAATAATACAACTAGAAAAATATCAACCTATCTGTGTTTCAACCTCACAATAAAATAAAAATAACTTTTTAAAAATTATTTCATCTGTTGTATGTAAACTGTGTTAAGACCTCTTTTTATTAATCCCGTTTTAGTAACTCTAACTTATTTTATATTTATATATTTTAATTAGTATAAATTTAAGGAATTCCATAGTGTAATATAATAATTACATTTTATCCCGACAAATTTAGTATTTACTAATAATCCATTATAATTGTTGTGGCGTGATACATTAGTATGTTGTGATACATGGTAAATGATACATAGTAACTTAAAACTGTTAAGATTAAAAGGGGAAAAAATGGAACATTTAAATTTGTTATCTAAATCAGCTTAAATTACGATAACAGTTCATCAATAAGCATTAATTCAGCACGTAATTGGATACAAAAATCAATTGAAGTAGATAATGTTATTAAGATGATACGGGCCAAATCTATTTTTTGATGGAGAAAGTATACAACACACAGTGAGCATAACTTTTTCCTGATTCACAATTGTGGAAGGGGACTTTGGATGATTTACAGCGTCAGGGTACCCTTGAGTCTCCAAAGACATTGCTGAACAAGGCTGATACACAAATCCAACTTTCCCTTTTACATTTATGATCCAATTTGCAGTGTAGAAATGCACACAAGGCGCAGTCGCTTGGATATTCATTAATCTTCCTGATTTCTTGTCATAAACTATTGCCACTGGTTTCATTTTCTTATTGTTGTCTAGTACATAGTTTCTATCATATCCAATTTGGACTTCATCGATCCTGCTCCCTACCTTACATTTTGTCCCGACAAATTTAGTATTTACTAATAATCCCTTATAATTGTTGTGGCGTGATACATTAGTATGTTGTGATACATGGTAAATGATACACAATAACTTAAAACTGTTAAGATTAAAAGGGGGGAAAATGGAACATTTAAATTTGTTATCTAAATCAGCTTAAATTACGGTAACAGTTCATTAATAAGCATTAATTCAGCACGTAATTGGATAACAATTTCAAATTTTGAAAATTCAAGATCATATCATCTAGTTTGAAGACATTTTTATGAACATCCAATTATTAAACTTACTGACTGATACATGATAACAATTTTCAAAAACTCGTGATACATAGAAAATCATATGATACACATCAAATTCATGTATCAATGCATCGTCTAAACACTATAACACACTGAGTCGATATGTATCAGCAAGCACACTTGATGGGGGTAGTTATTAAACTTATTGAATGATACATGATAACAATTTTCAAAAGCTCTTGATACATAGGAAATTATATGATACACATCTAATTCATGTATCGATGCATCGACTAAGAACTGAACGGGAGAGAAGAACTGAAAACGTGATGGAGCAAGAACTGAACGGGAGAGAAATTGTCCAGATTTTTGAAATTTCAAATTTTTTAAATTTTGAAAATCAAAATTTCAAAATTGGGTGTTCTAATTAAAATTAATTAAAATTAATAATTCAAAATCCAAAAACTGATTTAAAAGGTTGAGTATTTTAATGGAGAAAATTCAAAATCCAAAAATTGATTTAAAAGGTTTAGTGTTTTAATGGAGAAAAAATAGACATTAAAATGGGTAATTGTGTATTATAGGAGAGAGAATGTTATGTATCTATACTCTTATACTAAAATTAAAAAAAAAAAGAGTTATGTAATATTTAAAAAAAGAAGGGAAAATTAGACAATATAAAACTTATAGTTGTGTATTTAAGTTATTTTTCCTTTTAATTATTCGTTTATTGGGCCTACAGAGCAGCCCATTTCTGCATTGTGCACTTGTCATAAACAATTGGACTTACTCGTATCGGACTCAAAAATAGTATTTAGCCCAACCCTATAAAATCGTATTGGGACGGCCCAAGTCCCCATGGAGTAGGCCCAAATTATGTACCTATTCTTTGTAGCCCAAAACAATTCATCCACCTAGCCATAACCGGTTGTAGCAATAAGATGATAATCACTCAATATACATACTAGAGGAACTTTAACAGATAACCACTACAAATAGTTTAATTACTCTCCTTAACTATAGTTTGATAATTATGATTCGTAGCTACATGTTATAGGAAAGAGAGACGCGAGAAAGAGAGGGCAAAGAGTGGGAGAGAGGTGAATTATATATATATCTCGTTTAGATAATTGTATATTATACATATGTATTTGTAAATATGACAAGCGATATTGACAGTGGAAGGAGAGAGGTGAGAGAGATTGGGAAAGAGGAGAGAAATGAGAGAGACGAGAGAGATGAATTGTATATTATATATATACATTTATATATATATGAAAATCGAGATTGGGAGAGGGAGTAGAAGGTGAGTGAGATTGGGAGAGAGAGAGAGAAAAGTGAGAGAGGGCAAAGAATGGGAGAGAAATGTATATATATGTATCGATAAGATAATTGTATATTATACATGTGTAGTTGTATATTCAGGCAATTTATACATATTGAAATATGACTAATTATACAAATTCTAAGTCAATCCACATAATTAATGTATAATGTTGATCGCTAGTGGTAATCATAACAAACTATAACTATAATGATTAAGTAGTACTCTTAAGTTTGAGCGAGCCTCCAACTTATCTTTGGTATTAGACCTCTAATTAACTTGAGCTGCCATTGATTATAGGTAAATTATGTCATCCGTCAGCCTTCTTGGGCTTCTATATACCGTAAAAATTTAAATATACACATTACGAACTTCATGTTTCATTAAAATTTTGGAACTTCATTTGAAAATAAGAAAAATTAGTAAACTAGTCAAAATCAATAACTTAATTAGTAAAAAACCCACTACTTTAAAAAAATTAGTTAAAATGTCAAAAATGTCATTATTTTGAAAAAGAATATGTATCCTAGTTAAACCCCTATTTTATCTCCTAAAAAAAAATTTATTTACATTTCTATGTATATCCATAGTTCACTTTTCCCAAATTAATTTAATTTTATAAACATCAAAATCTGCAAATTTTCCCCATATCTCTCTTCCATATTTATCCCATAAATAAAAAAAAAATTCTCTCCATATTTTCATGTTCATATTCCTATTCAACCTTCAAATCCTTATTCTTTTTACCAATTTTTGTATTATTTTCTACCGAAATGTTTTTTTTATCTTCAAAATCTAGATTCACACAAATTTATCTAATTAAGGTATTTTCATCATTATCCTTTTTTTTAGATTTATTTTTTGATTTTATTGTTATTTAAATCATTGGTGAAAGTAGGATTCTTTTCGTTTAAAACTAGAAAACAATCTTCAAAGAATGATTCAAAGAGACAAAGAGACACTTTTCATCTTAGTAAAACGATTTCTAGTGATTTTCCATCATTTAATCTATGTATTACTCAAAATAACCTTCATTAGCAATTTTACTTTATCCAGCCCATTTTGGAGTCTACTAAGCTTAGAACAATTAAAATACGTAAATTTTACGTTTTTTAAAAGCTCTCTTACTCTCCATTTCGTGAAGAAGCCAAATTATTAGATTTTAATTGTTCTTTTCACCAACTTCAAAATAAGTTATCATATGGAATATCTCAAAATTTATATGACGAAAAGTTAATAAACATTTTTATTTATAGTTCAAACAAAAATGACTTTATAAACTTTGTTAGCATGATATACTTGACATACTAGTAGTAAAATTAGATTTTTCAAAATGTAGTAATTACTTGATTAATGATATGTTGAGAAAAACACATAGTTGACAAGTAAAAATAAAAAGATGGAGCAATAACACACAAAGCAAAAGAA